AATTTATGGATATAAACCAATGGATATGTATCTTGTGGATATTGCTTAAATTTGATGATATTAGTTGATTCATTGAAATGTATTGTCCACTAAAGAAAAAGAAACTGATAACATTCAGTGGAGAAAAAGGAATATATTAGGAAGAAATTCCTTGAATAATCAAGAGAAAACAGGATCCGGAATATAAATTAAGTGGTTGAACTTAGATAGGAGTAGAAACACTTCCATGGTGGAAGACACACTATAGTGGTATACATGTAGATAGATTAGAAGAATTTGTGGTAGGCAAATGAAATCATCCTCATTTTATTGCATTTATTCTCTTTATGAATTAAGCAGTGGTAACATCAACCGAGGATAATGCAATGAAAGATCTAGGAAACTTGAAGAATACAAGGCATTGTGAACGATTTGATAATACATAGTCATCTTGAGAACTGGGAAGGTGAATTTACTATGAAAATACAGTAATAGGGCAGTCTGGAATAGTCAAAGCATTTGTTGAACTATGTAACCATAAATTTAGGATTGTCACTGCTTAATGTATATTCAGTAATGTCCACTTACTAGGTTGAGTTTCTGTATACAGAATAACAAAGAAAGTCAGGATATGTGCAAACAACTATTACCACTAAACTAAGTTGAGCAAGAAGAATAGAAGAAAAGAAAGAGGTGATGAATAATGAAAACATGATATGGTAGAGAGGAGTCATCTGTGAGATCAGAAAAAAAATTGTTGGGGGCCTCCCTGGTGGCCTAGGGGTTATGTTTTAGTGTTAGCATTACTATGCCTGAGTTTGATTCCCAGTCAGGGAGCTAACACATATGGTCAGCAGACATCTCCTGTCTCCCTGCTCTCCCCTTAGCAGTGTATTTGAGTAAGCACCCCAGTTCTGCTCCCTACTTTCTCTCTGGTGAATCCTATAACCGCCCCACACCTGTGGTCTACAACCCAGTTCTTCTCTGCTAACAAATAAATTCTTAAAAAAAAAGAAAATTTATTCAATAGTAATTTTATAGTAAGTAACCTGGAGGATTACTGTTGATAACAGGATAGTGGGTACAGTTTTAGTAATGACAGGGTCATGTATGACTGAAACAGGTGAAAGAAAATGTCGGTAAGACAAAGGACATGGAGGATAAGAGGCTAGTGTGTTAGATCGTTCATATTCCTGACTTTTGATATAACTAGAATGATGAGAGCATTGGTTTCAGGTAGAGCAACAGTGAATCAGGGACTGTAATCATCACTGAATGAGGGAAACAAAAGGAGATCGTGAGAAGGTGAAGACAATGAGAAAGGCTATGGAGTAGAAAATCTGGCAATATGCATGTCTCTAAAGAGGCTTTGAGAGAGAAGAGATACAATTAAAAATATCAAAAGGAAGCAAAGATGACACTTCATGTCTATGTCTTTCTTATTCTATTTGTGGGAGAGGTAAAACCAAGAATCAGCCTCAGTTTGAGAAGGTAGCAGAAAGTGTGTGGTCTAAGAAGCCTCAGATGTCAGAGTAATAAGCATTAGTAACTTGCAGTGAAATTTTCAGAGAAAATTTAGGATATCAGAAAGCAAGTTTTACAGAGAATAGTAAAGTTTATGAGGTCAGGGATTGGAAGATTCTTGAATACAAGAGTGTTTTAGTGGTAGATAATCTGGGACATTGGGACTTTTGTTTGTGACTCACATTTATGATGAGTAATAGTTAGGGAAAACTAATATCTCTGGGCCTTAGAGACAGGTGTTACTTAAGATATAAGGACACTATCTCCACTATAACTGGTGAATTTTATCAAGGATGGGAAAACGTAAAGGAACCTTCATGGAGATTGGTTGTAGCTATGGGACAAGAAACAGAAACAGAAGTGATGGAAGAAGGGCTTGACTCTGGGAGAAGCTGGGAGTGGGGGCATGCTGGAATTCCCTGCAGCTGGAAGTGTTTTAAGTCACTGTAGAATATAGGCCAGTCAAGTTGTCCATCACTTCCTGTACTGCTTATCTTAGTGTTCATGCCACCTGCCTTCATTGCAAGATTAAAAGCTGCATTACCCAGCAAATCTCAAATGGGTTTCTGTTTGTCATTTAAAGTCTGTCAATCAGATGGGTTTGGGAACCTAGATAAGGAGAGGAAGACCCAGGGAGGATGGCCATCCTCATTTGACTGTTGCAGATAGTTTCTAACAGGGACAAAGTTAGTTCCCAATCCCGGAAGCTGGTTTTTTCATAGTGGAAGGGACAGCAGCTCCTTAGGTGCTCAGGTATGAGAAGGTATTATTTTTGGAAGCCTAGCCTACTTTTTGACTTGGGCCCTCCCAGTGATTCTAGAAACTAGTTTATATCCTATAATAAATGTCCTTTGCTTAAAGTACCAGAATGGATTCCTTCCTTTACAATTTATTTGAAGTCCTTCTAATCCTAAAGTTACCCCTCCCCAGTATAGATAATTCCCCCTGAGGTTGGCATACAATCTAGTACATGCATCCAATCCAGTACACCCATTGACTTTGAGGGTTAAATATATTAACTGCCATCAATTTGTCTCTTTTAGGAAATTTTTTTTAGAAATAAGAACTAGGCAATTATGAGAGGTAATAGACTTTACTGTTATAAGGTGAACCTCATTATTCACTGGCTAATTGGGAGGAGATAAACTTGAGCTGATTTGCAGTGTGTGTGTATGTGTCTGTGTGTTTACACACATACATATGTATCCAAAATGATACTGAATGACATAGAAATGCTAAAAAGTGACTCTTATATTCCCTTGTTTACCCAGAATAAGAAATTACCCTCATCAATTTACTGCAGTCATTTCCTCCTTTCTATTCTCAAGTATAGAAATGATATCCAAAGCAACAGTCAAGTCATTAATTTCTGAAATATTTTTGCATGCCTACGCTCACCTGGCTAAGTGTTGGATATACAGCTAAGGGAAAAAAAACAGACATGACCCTTGACTGCATAAAGCTTACAAATTCATAAATCTACTGCAGGGGATAGACACTAAACCAAAAGTATTAATTAAATAAGATGAGTATTATGAAAAGGGAGCATGGTGTTAGGGAGCATATCTAGGAGGAGAAGCTAAGCTTGTATAGATAGTTCTTAGAGAACTTTGCTTCAATTGATTTCTGCATCTAACAGTGAACTTAGTACAAATAGCAACAAACCCAAATTTCAAAGGCTTAATGGAATGAAAAATTATTTCTCACTCTCATAATATCTGATGAAAGTTTATTGGGTGGCTTTCCTTTTAGTGTTGGCACTAAGGTCTTCCCTTCCTTCTGTAGCTTCTTAGTCTTCTGAGTTTCATCAGCTCTCCCTGCTGCATGGAAAGCACTCAGCTACCTAAAGAACAGAATCAATTTAAGGATAAGGATGATTGTGTAACTTATACCGAATAATTTTGGCCTGAAAGGGATTGCTCCCATTCCACTGAGAGCAGTCACAGAGACCCACTTAAGATACAAGGGCTGGCGAGAGGAGAGGAGTGTAGGAAATATAATACTTTGACAAGGTAACTGCTTCTTGGCAAAAATCTATAACTTGGAAAAGAAGGAGAAATTTACTTTGGATTACTCACTATGTCTGCCACATGACAAGAAACAGATACATTTGCCTTTTTGAGAGATAGTCTGATAAAAGACTGACATTGGGAAAAACATGATTGCAAAGTCTTGTTATCACCAGCTTTAGTACTATTGAGGGGATGCTGGGCTTAAGTAGGTATTTTCATTTAGTATATGGTAAACCTAACCCTTTAAATTTAGTCAGGGATTGAAGTAGACACCAAGTATGCTGTACACTGAGAACTAATGTTAGTCTTCTATAGAATAATTTATCCTAGAATTTAATCTGGGATCCCCATTCACAACCTAGAAATAGTTAAGATAATTATTAGAATTCCAGATTAGGAAAAAAAATGGATTTGACACAAAGTATATTGTATTAAGATTCTATGTGTGAACATCAGTGCACGTAATTTAAATCATTAGGGATAATTACATGGGGACAGAAACTCACATATTAACACAGATGGTCCTGGGACAATAAATTATTTTTACTGTTTAAAGTTTTTTTCAATATTTCAGTGTTTATTTTTTGGAATCTGGTCTTATTTTTAATTGTTTTTGAAAAAATTGACAAAAATGTTTAAAAAAGACATTAACTTCCTAATAAATCTTTACCTAGATTCAGAAATCAATGTTTTATTACATTAGATCTGTTTCTTGTTCATACAGATTGATGGATTGATAGATGCTTATAAATATAAGTTTTATTCCAATCCAGATAAAACATGACAGACATCACTGCTAAACACAAGGACATTCTCTTCTATAAAAACAATAGTTTGCAATGCAAAAATTATAACACAAATATGATACTCCTTTCTAAAATTTTGAATAGTTGAAGCTCCTTGCAGAAATACCTGATTTTATATTGGTCTGATGATTTTATCATGATTAGAACTAAGATAATGAGGTATTGCATCAGATCACCTATGATAATAGTTTCTTCCATTATTGGTGATGTCATATGTCATTACATAGTTACACTGGGTGTCTGATTTATCCATTGGAAAGCTATCTTTTCCCCTTTGTCATTAGTAAGTCAGTGGTGAAGTCATGTTTGAAGACTGTGTGAAGTTCCAATTCCCCACCAACTTTTCATTCTATTGATGGATCTTTCCTGAAAGAAGTATTAGAAGGTGGTGACAAAGTGGTTGCTTATTATTTTGATATTCCCTTTGTCACTCCTCTCACCCTCCTTTTCCCCCTCCTCCTTTTCTCCCTCTTCCTTCTCTCTCTCTCTCTCTTTTGTTTCCCTCTTTTATTTCCTTGTATGATTGACACTATGAGTTCGTGGGTTCAATGTGTTCTATCTCCCTACCATGATCTTAGTCTCCTTTATGTAATACCATTGGGCACTGCATAAACCATCCTCCATTGTGTATGAAACACATCGCTGCAAACTGGGCTAATATACCTATTGTACTTTTCAGAATTGATGTGAAGAGAGCACACAGAATGATGTGCTGCACCTGGCAGCTGGTAAGTATCTATGCCCCTTTGACACAGCATTTCCTTACTTCCTGGCACCACAGGGCCACTTTGCCCTCTTCCTATCACAGTCTTGTTATGAGCTATCTAGGAACTTAATGCTTCTTAGCTAGAACTGTGTTTAGAAACCAAAGTCTTGGTACTAGGTTTAATGATTTCTTTCTGAAGTAGGCATTTGTTTTTCCCTTCCCAAGATGGATATAATGTAGAACCTACTTCATTGAATTGTTTATTTATTCTTTTCAACATATTTGTATTGAGCACTTAGTGTGTGTGGCAGATATCTTACAGCTGTATGTAGCCCAGATATAACTCTCTGTCTCTAGAGATTTCACCGTCATGGGGTGACAGAGTCCTTTCCCATCCAAAACAAATAAAATATATGCATAGATGCTGATAGTTTTTTAGGGGAAAATGAAGGTGACTCAGAGTGGGTAGCCGTGGGGTGTGTTGCTATTTTAAAGAGACTGGTGGGAGAAGTTCTCAGTGATAATATTTGACAGAGACCTGAAGCAAGTTAATCAGTGTATCATGCTAATACTTAAAATGAAAACTTTCTAGACAAGAAAGAACATGCACACAACCTCATAGAAAAGATGAGGAATGTCTAGAAAGATCAAAGACAGTCCGCCAGATTAGTGGGGCTGGAGCTCTGCGTGTGTGGCAGGGATGGAGGACTTTTTAGTACTTTGTGAAAACTTGCACAGTTGATCCTTGAACTGTGCGGGAGTTAGGAGTGTCAGCCCCAGGATCAGTTAAATCTGAGAATAATGTATAATCTGCCTTCCATATATATGCTTTATGCATTCCCTGATTCTATCAACCTGCAGATATAGGTTGAATCCAAGAGAGCTAAAAAAGAAAAAAAAAATCTGAGTATAGTGGACCTGGGCAGTTCAAACAGCATTGTTCAAGGATGAACTATATTTTGAATGGGATCTGGGAAATGACTGAGACATTTTTTAAAATGATAGTGAAACCATCTGATTTACGGTTTGAAGAGTTTGTTATGGCTTTTTCATTAGGGAACAGACTGAAGAGGGCAGAATTAGGAAAGGACAGAGTAGTTAGGAAATGAATGCAATAATCCTACAACACCCTGCAGATAGGGCAGGGCAGATGGAGTGGTGGTCAGATTCTAAATATATTTTGAAACTAAAGACCACGGGATTTGTTAATAGGTTAGATATGGAGTATTAAGAGAATGAAAGGAATCAGGGTTAACCTGAATCAAAGTTTTAACCACTGATTTGGGTGCTAGCGTAAGAATTAATAGCTATTAATAATTCATATGAAATATTTAGAAAAGTGTCTCACATGTCTTAAAGAATGACTAAATATTAGTTTTTAAAATTATTTTTATATCCTCCCAGTCATTTGTTATTCTTTACTTTATTCCTTTATGTTTATTTTCATGTTTTTGACTTCTGAGTTTTAATTTTACTGTTTTCACAGTGAATGAATGTTTCCATAATTCTGTCTCCACAAGGGCTATCTAACTCCATAAATTTTTGCAATGCACTGATCTTAGTGCCCATGCCTAGCACTGAAATCAGCATAGTTCACTTACTCTGTAGCTCTGGGCAAATTACTAATCTCTCAATTTCATCTCCTCTGAAATGAGGATAATAATATTTACCTCCCAAGGCTATGATGAAAATTAAAGAATATCCAGATTCAAAACTGAAAGTCACTACAAAGTATGAGTTATTGCAGTTTTTATTGTTGTCTACACTCTGAGAAGGCTCTTTATGCTAATCCTAGTCACTTAAAGGCATGAAAGAAATGGATTTGAACACATTAGTCATTCACACTGAGTTTTATTCTTGTATGGTAATATTTGAGTGTTTTTATTGGTAAGATTTGTTTTTTATATTTCCCAGTTTGGGATTTATTGAGACCTGAGCAGCTCTACTGAACCACTTTAAAAAAGATTTAATGAACCCAAGTTTTCCATTCAGGCAGAATATTGGGCCCAGGAAGGGACTCTGGCAGGGGGCAGTTTAGAACATGTATCTAAATTATTCAATTTGGGAAACTTCATACCTTAGTGCTTATTATATACTTTCAAGGTACAGCTCTCTAACACATTGCTGTGATTGCAATGCTTGGAAAATCTAGTGTCTAATGATTACTGGAACTTTAAAAGCTTTTCTTTAATGAGCAGAAATTGTAAAGCCTTAGCCACTTATACAAAATTTGAGATGTGTCTTCTTTCCTTATTTCTGCTGTTAGGTCATTACTGAGACTGTAGGTGGGAAAAAATCCTGTATGTCTTTCCTAAGCCAGGTAGGAATATATAGCACCAACTGATATTTTCATCATTTTATGTTATTTTACTATTAAGGACTATTTCTCTGTGTGGACTCATTTAAAAAATCCTATTCTCATCCACTGAATTATGATTTTTAGGCAGTAATTACTATTCCTAACTTATGGAAAAGGGAATTGAGGTCAAGGGAAACTAAATCACAAGGTCATGTGCTTAATAAGTGAGAGAGAAAGGAATGCAGCCTTGTTTCCCAGTCTCTCATCATCATTTCAGACCTAGGTCTTTTGCATTTTGAAAGATTGGTCATTTAGATACCAGAATTATCCTAATTAGCAGGAAAAAAGGGTGGTATTTCAGTTATTACATTTCTTTATAAATGTTTTATGGAAAATAAATGAGGTTATATTTTAATTTTTAGGCACAAGATTTAGAAAATAATTTCACAATCTTGTTTTCAGTGAAGATATGCAGAGTATCTATAGAATATCTTCAGTAAGCATGTGCATTATCCATTTTTCTTTGTAAATGAAAAATAGCTCATGGGGAGCATATAACTTGATCAACACACATTAAGCACTAAATATAAGTTCAGTTTGGGTTGGAATCTTTGATGTGTTCATAGTAGAAATCTTGATGCAATGCTTTCCATTTCTTTCTCCCTTCCTTTTTTCCCACATAATAGTCTTGAGTGTTATAAACACTGTGAAAATGTCCTCCTTCATCTCACCTTCCATGATTCCCAGAAACATAACTGCTAAATTAAGCTCTCCTTACAAATGTGTGTAAATAATCTGTAGGTGATACATGGGGGAATTGAAATTACAGTAAGATTCACTCTCACAGGCTGTTTCTAAATTTTATATGAGTTCTGTTAAAACCTTAACTTAATTTCATAATGGTATGAAAAATAGATAAATAAGGTATCGGGCCTCCCGGTGGCACAGTGGATTGAGTGCAGTGCTGTGAAGCTGTTCGTAGCCTCTGCAGCACGGGTTTGATTCCCGCCTGGCCAGGGAGAAACCCATGTGGCGCAGCAGACCTCTCCTGCCTCGCCCTCGCCTGCTGCTCCCCTCAGTAGTGTCTTCGGTCTGTCTGCTTATTCTGTTCCTCGCTCTGTCTCTGGTAAATTATCTCACCCTCCCCTGCCTCTGACCTGTATCCCAGTTCTTGTATAAATAAATAAATAAAATCTAAAAAAAAAATAAGGTATCCCTAAAAATGCATAATTTATGTCATTTCTTTAAATGTGAAAGGTAATGGCATACCAGAACATTATTTGAACAAATTTTCAGTTATTTGTGTTAACAATTTTATCATTTCCTAGTGGTAGTTTTTCTTGGTGACATTTACTACTAAGATTAATGTTTGTATTTCACTAGTTTGGAGGATAAGTTGTTAATTTACTTGGAGTTGCATTAACACTCAGGTATTCTCTAATTTCCTCTTTAATCCAAGGACATAAAAAATGCCCTTACGAATAGTTATGCAATGTGCAATCACAAAATAATTGCTTTTCCTCTGTGAGATAGTCTTAAAAATTCTTTCTGATTGGCTTCTGTCTCCTGAGGTGTTGGTATTGATCGAATTGAGATATAGTCCACATAAATCAATACACGAAAAGACAAGTTGTGTGTGATGACAGTAATTCTATCTGCAGCATAACTGCAAAATGTCTGGGTACCAATAATTATATTTCAGCTAGCTGGTCAGCACATGGTAATTTGTCAGTAAACCATTTTGCTTTCTTTGGTTTACAAAATAATGCTTACTGTTCTCAAAATATTTTGCTTACTATATCAGTATTATTATATTATATTTTGGTATATATATAATTATATAATACATCATGACTAGATATCTTGAAAATTCACATTCTTAATTCACATTTTTAGATTAACTTCCTTTCTGACTCTTAGAGAATGGATGATCTTAGAATCTTTTTTTTTTTTTAATTTCCAATACTGTACTATGCAGGAAGGTGCATATGGCCCAAAAGAAGACAATGACATGCTTCTGCAAATACTGTATTATTCTTTAACAGGTACATTTTTCAAACAAGGCAAAAGAAAATAAGTGGAAGAAGTGCAGGGAATTACATTAGGACTTGTTAGAAAGTGCTAAGGAAGGAGGGTAAGAAGTACCACTCAGAGAACCATGTAATAGGCAGGGCTTAAACATTTCTAAGCTCTTCTCCAACCAGTGCAGGAAAACCACCTAGCTGTCTTCTCCCAGCACTTACTCATTCCTTTGGTTGACAGTGTTAGCTATTATGTGGTGAAACATACTTACATGTACAAGAAATGATAAACATAAATATAATATTTGCAAGAAAACATCATACAGGGGCAACCTATTTGAGATTTTTGGCCCAAGGTCAATTATACTATTATATAACCCTGCTTAATTTGTTGCTTTTTTACCTCTGAAATTTAAGTATAAATAAACCATTTCTATCAAGAAAAAGCTGAAAGTCCGCTCATAGAGAACAATGGTGCTTTAAAAAATGTCCACTTCAGTTTTAATATCTAGAATTGATACCCTCCTATTCACTTAAATTACCAAATACATTTCTTACTTTGCTAATATATTTGTCTACTCCCAGTTAGAAATGTAAATCCAATTATATTACCATGGTAAATTTATTTTTTTACAACTGGCTTGTATTCCATTGTGACCAAATATTTCATAAAATTGAAGTGACCAACTATATCATCTAAAT